TGGAAGAAAATGTCATCCATCATATTTTCCTTGCTTACACGTGATGTTGTATCCATCCCTCTAACTTTCTACTCTCTCATATTTTCATTCTTCTATTTTTTTATTTAACCAAACGAAACAGTAGGCAACTCATTTTTTCCTTTCTTTATTTGGGTTGTCGGCNTTCCAATTTTAGAGGTATTCATTTTGGTGAATTGAAAGAAAATGTCATCCATCATATTTTCCTTGCTTACACGTGATGTTGTATCTATCCCTCTAACTTTCTACTCTCTCATATTTTCATTCTTCTATTTTTTTATGGAACCAAACGAAACAGTAGGCAACTCATTTTTTCCTTTCTTTATTTGGGTTGTCGGCTATAAATTTTCAATCCTGGTGTTCTTTCTCTAGATTAATACGCACGTCATGCTAATATTTAATTGTTAAACAAGCAACGCTAAATCCAGTAACAACTTTGGCAACAAGACAAGTTTTTAAGACTACTCGTAAGAAGAACTCCGAACCTTATAGAACTGTCCAACGTTAAGGAAGCAGACAATTTGAGCCGTTTGAGGGAGACTCCAAATCATATAGGAACTTGTAACAACCATACAAAATGCGCATGCATTAAGANGCCGTTTGAGGGAGACTCCAAATCATATAGGAACTTGTAACAACCATACAAAATGCGCATGCATTAAGATGAGACTAAATTATAATATTATTAACTCTAAAAGATAGCTCAAATGTCTTGAATTCGAATATTAGTAATTTCTTGAAATGAAATTTATTCTTCTAGTTTCGGCGTAAATGATATACTTTTGGCCTGAATAAAGAGAAAATTAATCAAAATTCGGATAAATTTATTCAAACACTCTTGATCGTTGAACTAAAAAAATTATAATATTAAGGGTGATAGATCTAACTAAGTGATCGGGCTATGAGTCATCATGTTAATCTGTTTATTCATCATTTAATATTCAAAGTTGATACGTATATAACTAATGAACTTGAAATTTAAGATTAGAATATATTTTTTTCTAAACCATATGTAACAGATATAGGCATCTCCTAACTTAAAAATTACGTACAACTAGTTTAAAAAAGTATAACCCTAATTGTATACTCAGACACAGGGTGGCTTAAGACAATTGGAGGCCTAAAATAAAAAATATTAAATGAGGTTTTTTTTTTTTTAATTTTCATTTAAAAAAATTAAATTCAATTTATTATATGAGAGAGACCAAAAAAGGACGTGCTAGTGTTACTGAAAAAAATATTTTAACTTTTATTTTTATTTTTTTTGAGAAACAGAGTTTAATTTCTTTTTTTTTAATATTTTGTATTAATTTTTACACAGAAAGTGAGGATAAAGTTGTCTTTTGAGNTCCCTAAATTTAATAGGGAAAAAAATGCCTACAAAGATGTGTTTGAAGTGATTTTTAAAAGTATTTCTAAAACTTATAAGTTTTCATAAGTACTTCAAAAAAAAAAAACTGTGTTTGAAACCGTCTCACCACAACCCTACCACCACCACTACTGCCACAGTCNTCATAGAGCCAAATTATTACAATCAAAATATTGATAGTCCTTAATATTTTGGGGTTTAAAATTTAAAAAATTTAATTATTTTAAGGGTCAGTAAAATACTTCAAAATTTAGGATTTTTTAAAAATTTGGGCCTAAAATCCGTACTTGTTTTTTTAATGCCCTTGAGCCAGCCCTGCACAGACATAAAGTCAGTAATTAGTCATTGTCAATGGCNTAACCAGCACCCTCACTGTTCCTCCACCTCCACTTCCACCACCACTACCACTCTCACCACCCCGTCATCACTTCTTCCACAACAAACACTACCACCTTTTTCACAACAACCACCACCACCACCATTGTCCCATCACCACCGTCGTCGTCGCCATCAACACGATCGCCACCCCACCACCACTACCCTCATCGTTCCACCATTTTCCACCATCGCTACTATCCTACCATCACCCTTATAACCACAACCTCCAACACTCCATCACTGCCACTCCACCACCCCGCGCCCACCCCCACCCACACCTACACCCACACCCTCACCCCCACCAATATTGTCACACACCATTAATTTCTACCACCATCGTCCACTGCTAACGTCACCACCCAACATCATCGTCATCTCATTCTTGTATTTATTACAGTTATCACCATCATCCCAGTACCACCATTAGCACTCACCACCACCATTGTTGCCCACCACTACAAATCATCACCCACCATCATCGCTAGCCACTGTCACCCACATCTACCACCACACCACTACTATCATTCGTCACCATTCATCACTCTATATCCCAAAAACACCCTTCGTCGCCCATCACCACCATTGTCACCGCCCACCATCGTCATATCTACTATTGTTGCCCCACCACAGTCAATGCCAACCACCATCAGTGTCACCTTCCACCACTACTGTCAACCACTATTATCGTCGCCTACCACCACCACCCACACCCACCATCACAACTACCGATACCCATGATTGCCACTGCCACTGCCACCATCGTCACTTAAAATCCATCATTACCACCATCATCGTTGTGACCCACGGCTGCCACCACCACCACAATCGTCGCCATTCACAATCATCGTCGTTTCTTACCCCCACCACTATCGCCCACCATCACTACCACCTGTTCACCACTATTACTACCGGTGCTTAAATTTTTTTTTTTCCCTCTGTTTGTGATTTTAATTTTGGGTGTTAATACAAATATGTTTATTGTTGATCATTTTTTTTATTACTCTGTAGTTTCAAGCACGAAAAATAACTAGTAGATAAATTAAATACATTTTAATACAAATGATTAACTGTCTATCTACTTTTTTTTCCAATTTTAGAGGTATTCATTTTGGTGAATTGAAAGAAAATGTCATCCATCATATTTTCCTTGCTTACACGTGATGTTGTATCTATCCCTCTAACTTTCTACTCTCTCATATTTTCATTCTTCTATTTTTTTATGGAACCAAACGAAACAGTAGGCAACTCATTTTTTCCTTTCTTTATTTGGGTTGTCGGCTATAAATTTTCAATCCTGGTGTTCTTTCTCTAGATTAATACGCACGTCATGCTAATATTTAATTGTTAAACAAGCAACGCTAAATCCAGTAACAACTTTGGCAACAAGACAAGTTTTTAAGACTACTCGTAAGAAGAACTCCGAACCTTATAGAACTGTCCAACGTTAAGGAAGCAGACAATTTGAGCCGTTTGAGGGAGACTCCAAATCATATAGGAACTTGTAACAACCATACAAAATGCGCATGCATTAAGATGAGACTAAATTATAATATTATTAACTCTAAAAGATAGCTCAAATGTCTTGAATTCGAATATTAGTAATTTCTTGAAATGAAATTTATTCTTCTAGTTTCGGCGTAAATGATATACTTTTGGCCTGAATAAAGAGAAAATTAATCAAAATTCGGATAAATTTATTCAAACACTCTTGATCGTTGAACTAAAAAAATTATAATATTAAGGGTGATAGATCTAACTAAGTGATCGGGCTATGAGTCATCATGTTAATCTGTTTATTCATCATTTAATATTCAAAGTTGATACGTATATAACTAATGAACTTGAAATTTAAGATTAGAATATATTTTTTTCTAAACCATATGTAACAGATATAGGCATCTCCTAACTTAAAAATTACGTACAACTAGTTTAAAAAAGTATAACCCTAATTGTATACTCAGACACAGGGTGGCTTAAGACAATTGGAGGCCTAAAATAAAAAATATTAAATGAGGTTTTTTTTTTTTTAATTTTCATTTAAAAAAATTAAATTCAATTTATTATATGAGAGAGACCAAAAAAGGACGTGCTAGTGTTACTGAAAAAAATATTTTAACTTTTATTTTTATTTTTTTTGAGAAACAGAGTTTAATTTCTTTTTTTTTAATATTTTGTATTAATTTTTACACAGAAAGTGAGGATAAAGTTGTCTTTTGAGTACTTTTATGATTTTTAAATTTTTAATATTATAAATTAAATCATAGAGCCAAATTATTACAATCAAAATATTGATAGTCCTTAATATTTTGGGGTTTAAAATTTAAAAAATTTAATTATTTTAAGGGTCAGTAAAATACTTCAAAATTTAGGATTTTTTAAAAATTTGGGCCTAAAATCCGTACTTGTTTTTTTAATGCCCTTGAGCCAGCCCTGCACAGACATAAAGTCAGTAATTAGTCATTGTCAATGGCCCAAGGAAACTGCCATGCAATTTCCTCGAAAAGTACAAGTAACCACTCCTCGTCTGCCTAGCAATTTCATTGCAAGTGCCACCTCAGACTCTTTATTCTAATACTTTCCGCAGAATTCATTGTTCCCACCACTGTCGTCCACCTTTTTTTTTGGGAAAAACATTACATTTTAACCCTCCTAAATTATGGCTTTTTTTTATATTATTCCTAAAATATTTTATTTTTTTACATTAAGTGTCAAAATATAATATAATTCGCTAACACGACACCAATATGACATGAAATTAAAGAATTTGAATCTTCTTTAACCTACTTGTTTTGTAAACGAGTGAACCCGACATGACACGATTAATAAATGAATCGAATATGAGTGAAACCAATCAAAAAAATATATATATGACATAACTCGTTTATAAACTAATTATATATAATTCATATACGACACAAATTTGATGTGACACGACTCATTATACACGAATTAATTAACGAATCGAGTATGAGTGAAATATTTTTTCACACGAATCCACTAAGACCAAACACGTTTACTATTAGAGAAATTAAAATAATGCAAATAATTGAGGCAACAGTTTTAAAAATTCAGTAGTGTAAGGGACAAAATAAAATTAGGTTCATAGTTTAAGGGGTTAAAGTGTAATTTGCTTTATTTTTTTGGCGGGGCAATATTTCCTCTGCGTTACGCGAGTATATAAACCCTTGCATGCCTTTCAACTTCTTCGTCGAACAAGTTCCTTAATTTTGCAGCCATGGAACCTGTCCAAGTTCCTAAATCTTTCGGTTGTTTTCCTCACAAAATTCTCAAAATAAGCTTAACAAGCCCTCGATCAAAGTCTAATAACACTTCAAGTTTGAGCTCTTCAAGAACTCCCAAATCTCTGGGTACACCCAAAAGCGGCAGCTCAGGAAGCTCCAGAGGCTCAAGGGAAGACAAACTGAGAGATGTTTTCCACCGTTTCGACGGCGACAACGACGGAAAAATCTCCGCAAGTGAGCTTAGAGCTTACTTCGCGTCAATCAGAGAGTACATGTCACACGAGGAGGCTCAAGCGGTGATTGATGAGCTTGACACAGATGGAGATAACTTGATAGATTTTGAAGATTTTATGAGGTTGATGAAGAAAGAAGGTGAGGATGAAGATATTAAGGCTGCTTTTCAGACGTTTGAGTTTGAAGGGTCTGGTCGTATAACTGCGGAGAGCTTGCAGACGGTGTTGAGTAAGTTGGGGGACTCCAAATCTTATGATGACTGTGCGGCTATGATCCAAGTTTATGACACTGATGGAACAGGAGATCTTGATTACTGTGAGTTTCAGCAGATGATGATGGATTAATAACTTGATAATATATATATATATATATATATATATATANTATTCATCATTTAATATTCAAAGTTGATACGTATATAACTAATGAACTTGAAATTTAAGATTAGAATATATTTTTTTCTAAACCATATGTAACAGATATAGGCATCTCGTAACCTAAAAATTACGTACAACTAGTTTAAAAAAGTATAACCCTAATTGTATACTCAGACACACAGGGTGGCTTAAGGCAATTGGAGACCTAAAATAAAAATATTAAATGAGGTTTTTTTTTTTTAATTTTCATTTAAAAAAATTAAATTTAATTTATTATATAAGAGAGACCAAAAAAGGACGTGCTAGTGTTACTGAAAAAAATATTTTAACTTTTATTTTTATTTTTTTGAGAAATAGAGTTTAATTTTTTTTTTAATATTTTGTATTAATTTTTACACAGAAAGTGAGGATAAAGTTGTCTTTTGAGTACTTTTATGATTTTTAAATTTTTAATATTATAAATTAAATGATAGAGCCAAATTATTACAATCAAAATATTGATAGTCCTTAATATTTTGGGGTTTAAAATTTAAAAGATTTAATTTTTTTAAGGGTCAGTAAAATACTTCAAAATTTAGGATTTTTTAAAAATTTGGGCCTAAAATCCGTACTTGTTTTTTTAATGCCCTTGAGCCAGCCCTGCACAGACATAAAGTCAGTAATTAGTCATTGTCAATGGCCCAAGGAAACTGCCATGCAATTTCCTCGAAAAGTACAAGTAACCACTCCTCGTCTGCCTAGCAATTTCATTGCAAGTGCCACCTCAGACTCTTTATTCTAATACTTTCCGCAGAATTCATTGTTCCCACCACTGTCGTCCACCTTTTTTTTTGGGAAAAACATTACATTTTAACCCTCCTAAATTATGGCTTTTTTTATATTATTCCTAAAATATTTATTTTTTTACATTAAGTGTCAAAATATAATATAATTCGCTAACACGACACCAATATGACATGAAATTAAAGAATTTGAATCTTCTTTAACCTACTTGTTTTGTAAACGAGTGAACCCGACATGACACGATTAATAAATGAATCGAATATGAGTGAAACCAATCAAAAAAATATATATATGACATAACTCGTTTATAAACTAATTATATATAATTCATATACGACACAAATTTGATGTGACATGACTCATTATACACGAATTAATTAACGAATCGAGTATGAGTGAAATATTTTTTCACACGAATCCACTAAGACCAAACACGTTTACTATTAGAGAAATTAAAATAATGCAAATAATTGAGGCAACAGTTTTAAAAATTCAGTAGTGTAAGGGACAAAATAAAATTAGGTTCATAGTTTAAGGGGTCAAAGTGTAATTTGCTTTATTTTTTTGGCGGGGCAATATTTCCTCTGCGTTACGCGAGTATATAAACCCTTGCATGCCTTTCAACTTCTTCGTCGAACAAGTTCCTTAATTTTGCAGCCATGGAACCTGTCCAAGTTCCTAAATCTTTCGGTTGTTTTCCTCACAAAATTCTCAAAATAAGCTTAACAAGCCCTCGATCAAAGTCTAATAACACTTCAAGTTTGAGCTCTTCAAGAACTCCCAAATCTCTGGGTACACCCAAAAGCGGCAGCTCAGGAAGCTCCAGAGGCTCAAGGGAAGACAAACTGAGAGATGTTTTCCACCGTTTCGACGGCGACAACGACGGAAAAATCTCCGCAAGTGAGCTTAGAGCTTACTTCGCGTCAATCAGAGAGTACATGTCACACGAGGAGGCTCAAGCGGTGATTGATGAGCTTGACACAGATGGAGATAACTTGATAGATTTTGAAGATTTTATGAGGTTGATGAAGAAAGAAGGTGAGGATGAAGATATTAAGGCTGCTTTTCAGACGTTTGAGTTTGAAGGGTCTGGTCGTATAACTGCGGAGAGCTTGCAGACGGTGTTGAGTAAGTTGGGGGACTCCAAATCTTATGATGACTGTGCGGCTATGATCCAAGTTTATGACACTGATGGAACAGGAGATCTTGATTACTGTGAGTTTCAGCAGATGATGATGGATTAATAACTTGATAATATATATATATATATATATATATATATATATACACATTGAAAAATTGAACTAGTGTGCAATGATGATAAATCTTTGATTTTGGTAAATGAGAGTGAAATAAGCAAGTAAATGGATTATGGAGACATGTGCACGAGGACAGAGAGAAATGTGTAGTCACTAGCCATCTCAAGTGTGTTGGGTTTGAAATGATGTATGTAATTGGAAACATGATCATATGGTTGTGTTTGATATGGTTTTCGTGATTAATTGTTTCGTTTTTTGTGATTAATTGTTTCTAGCTTCTTACTTTATTCTTATTTCTTTCTTTTTGTACTAATTGTCAGAGGTGTCCAAGTTAATTTTCATAGTTCAATTAATCCCCTCTCTAATATGATTAAATTTAGAACGTCTGAATTTACAGTTCGTCGCTATTAACACTCGAACTATCCTGAAGTTATTTTATTTCTATTTTGTGAAGGAAATCTTCCCATTAGTGGTATAACCTTAAAACTCAACCAGGTTCACTTCCGTCAAATTTATTGAGTTTGAGTATGTTTAGATTTAATTTTGTTGCGTATAGTTTTATACTACCATTGGTTGTAGCGCACCGAAATTTCGATACTATGAAGCCTTTGTTTGGCAAGCAACATTGGCAATTAATCGAAGTTCCCCTCAAGTTCAAGTCTTGAGAATCCTGGTAAAGTAAAGGTAAAAAGGCTGTGGATGTTGCTTTCATAATAAGAGAAGTATGACAGTTTCAGCTACTTTACCTGTTGAAGAAGAATCATTGACCAAAGCCATGTGAAGCTGTGATGACGATCTAAACGCCCTGTTATACTATCCTTGAGTAAGTGGTGCCCTCTTATACAAAGCAGCGAGCTTTCTACAAAAGAGAACCACACTGACGTCCATTTCTCAGATCATTCAGATAAACTGTTTACGGATGTAATTAGATTTTGATGGATCGAAATTCGAATCCAAACATAATATCTGAGAAATTTCTTTTTCACAGTCAATAAAGAGTAATGTTACACGTGGACGACTATGTCAAACATGAGACCTCTTCTCTCCTACCGAAGATGAGGATGACAATTGATTTTCAAAATCGATATAATAAAGTATTTTATAATTTAAATCTTAAAATATAAATAAAATGACTTTTAATATTCACGATTGAGATCGTTTTAAATTTTATTTTAAAGTTAATCTAATGAGTAATATTAACACCTTAAATTTAATTAAAAAAAAAAAAAAACTCTTAAGAGTGTGTTTGGAGTGACTTTTTAAAAGTAATTTTAAAAATTATTTTTCATAAATACTTTAAAAAAAATAGTGTTTAAAATCGCACCATCGCCACCACCACCACCACCATCGCCGTTGTCGCCACCGCCACCACCACCCCCACCATCGCCGTTGTCGCCACCGCCACCACCACCCCCAC